TTCCAGCTGGGTCATAACTACATAAGATGAAGAACTAGTTCCCAGCTGGGTCATAACTGCATAAGCCGAAGAACTAGTTCATTTTCTCACTAACTTCTCCTTCAGCTCATAGGATCATAGGAAAATCATATGTAACCTTGAACTGAAGAGCTCCCAAATATGGCTTCAAATTCTCTGCATTTACTGGCTGTAAAACTCCAACAGAAAGTTCTGGCTGTTCGTCTAACTCTGGTGGACTTTAGTCTTGTTTGAGAACCTGAGTACTGCGTACGCATCTGTTTTATAGATCTGACATACGCATATGCAGACTGTTGGTTCCTCGCTTCTGAGGCAAATGTACTTAAAAGTAAGCCACTAATTAATAGACTTCTACAACTTGCTTGCTGCGGAGACAGGGGGTCTATTTTTGTTTTCACCCCAATGGGGCTCCGAAACCCACACAAGGATAACTTTGAACTGGCTTCTAATTTATGACTATGACAATCAAAATTCAAACACAGGCATCGAAAGATTCACCAAGTGCAAGATAAAAACAATACATACAACAGAATGATAACCTCAAAGTTTTCTCCTGTGCATTAAAAACTAGACACTACTATTGCATATAATAATATTCTGCTGTTTCAATTCCACTGCATTTCTCGCAGCGGACTGTTTGTGTTGGCACTTCTGGTGGCAGCCTTATGTCTCTAATGCAAGTGTATGCTACTGACTTTGCTGGGACTGCAACTAGGAGGTGTAAGTATTCTACTTCCTGTAAGGATTCCACAGGCACACTGTGGGGGAAGAGGTACAATCCCCTCCCCCCAATGTCAAAGGTCTGCATACTTTTTAACAATCATAATAAAATATTTACTCTAATTTATAATTAAAATCGCAAAAGGGATTGCATTCTAAAGTTATCGAGGCATATGATGCTAGACCACAGGGCACTGGATGTGTGATGTTAACCACATAAATAGTTTTTTTTTTTTAATACGACCTCCTGTCTACTCATTCGTCAACTAAACTTGACAGATAAATGCTTCATGATGTTTTTCACTTAAATCTTTAAATCTCAGTTACTTTCTACCTTTTGATATTCCTTACTCTAAAGGATAAGATACTTCTTCTTCTTCTTCTTCTTCTTGTTCACCGGCTGTGAATTCCGGCGGTAAGTCACGGTTGTTCGTCCAAAATGGACTTTTGGCTTTTACCTTGACCTGAGTTTTGCGTGTACATCCGTTTTACTGGCTTATTTGTTTGCAGTACTCGTTCCCCGCCTCTCCGGCAGATGTACTCCGACTTCGGAGGAAGGATAAGATACAAAATTAGTTTCTATCTTCATCCCTGGCCACTTTTACTTTCAAAAGCTGAGTGTTGCCTGTATGGCAGCTTCATATGCTACTCTAAATTTGTTGTCTTGTTTGGCTATTTTCTGTTATTATCTCTCATCGCTGCCCAGACATTTCAAGAAAGTACAGAAAATAATCTAATCAATGCAGTCAAACATTTTCTCCTAGTATTTTCAAGCATGAAAATAACTTTCACATCAATAAAACCAATAACCAAAGTTATGCAATAAAAAATGGAAAACATAACAGCCAATGAACCGGTGAAAAAAAGACACGCTTCAAAAACTATGGCAACAGCAACGAATCAAAATAATAAATTACACAAACTTTACAGAAGTGGAAAGTTGATGATAACCCTGCTGCCCTGTGATGCAGAAAATCCCAATAAAAAGTTTTTAAAAAATTGGAAAAATAGAATATCTATTGAAGTCAGGAAAAAAATGGAAAAATTAAATCATCTATAGAAACAGCTGGTACATATTATTCTATCACAATCACTGCATCTTGCAGTGCCTCACACATCTGCGACAATCGTAGTTCATATCTGCATATATTTCTATCACTGTTACAGAAATCTGTGACAACAGCTTAGATCTGTGACATTATAGCAAACATCCTTTTCATTGCAGCAGGAATCTGTGGTATTGTAACACACAACCTTGTCACTGCAGCAGGAATATGTGACATTATAGCACACAACCTTGTCACTACAGCAGGAATATGTGACATTATAGCACACATCCTTGTCACTGCAGCAGGAATATGTGACATTATAGCACACAACCTTGTCACTGCAGCAGGAATATGTGACATTATAGCACACAACCTTTTCACTGCAGCAGGAATATGTGACATTATAGCACACAACCTTGTCACTGCAGCAGGAGTATGTGACATCAAAGCACACAACCTTGTCACTGCAGCAGGAATATGTGACATTATAGCACACAACCTTGTCACTGCAGCAGGAATATGTGACATTATAGCACATATCCTTGTCACTGCAGCAGAAATATGTGACATTATAGCACATATCCTTGTCACTGCAGCAGGAATATGTGATATTATAGCACACATCCTTGTCACTGCAGCAGGAATATGTGACATTATAGCACACAACCTTGTCACTGCAGCAGGAATATGTGACATTATAGCACACATCCTTGTCACTGCAGCAGGAATATGTGATATTATAGCACACATCCTTGTCACTGCAGCAGGAATATGTGACATTATAGCACACATCCTTGTCAATGCAGCAGGAATATGTGACAATATAGCACACATCCTTGTCACTGCAGCAGGAATATGTGATATTATAGCACACATCCTTGTCACTGCAGCAGGAATATGTGACATTATAGCACACATTATTGTCACTGCAGCAGGAATATGTGATATTAAAGCACTCATTATTGTCACTGCAGCAGGAATATGTGACATTATAGCACACATTATTGTCACTGCAGCAGAAATATGTGACAGAGTACACATCCTTGTCACTGCAGCAGGAATATGTGACATTATAGCACACATCCTTGTCACTGCAGCAGGAATATGTGACATTATAGCACACATCCTTGTCACTGCAGCAGGAATATGTGACAATATAGCACACATCCTTGTCACTGCAGCAGAAATATGTGATATAATAGCACACATCCTTGTCACTGCAGCAGGAATATGTGACATTATAGCACACAACCTTGTCACTGCAGCAGGAATATGTGACATTATAGCACACATCCTTGTCACTGCAGCAGGAATATGTGACATTATAGCACACATCCTTGTCACTGCAGCAGGAATATGTGACATTATAGCACACATCCTTGTCAATGCAGCAGGAATATGTGACAATATAGCACACATCCTTGTCACTGCAGCAGGAATATGTGATATTATAGCACACATCCTTGTCACTGCAGCAGGAATATGTGACATTATAGCACACATCCTTGTCACTGCAGCAGGAATATGTGACATTATAGCACACGTCCTTGTCACTGCAGCAGGAATATGTGACATTATAGAACACAATATTGTCATTGCAGCAGGAATATGTGACAATATAGCACACATCCTTGTCACTGCAGCAGGAATATGTGATATTATAGCACACATCCTTGTCACTGCAGCAGGAATATGTGACATTATAGCACACATCCTTGTCACTGCAGCACGAATATGTGACATTATAGAACACAATATTGTCATTGCAGCACGAATCTATGCAGAACACATAGCAAACACTACGGAACAGATGTGTAACAATAAAGCACACATAGTGGCCCTATAGCAAATACTACAGAACACATGTTCCAGAACCTGAGTTTTGTGTGTACACCCATTTTACAGACCTGGCTTAATGGTACCAAGACTGTTGGTTCCCCACCTCTGAAACAGATGCACTTTAACTTCGATGCAAAGCCATCGTTAGTCAACTCTTACCGAGGGCTTGTTTGGAGGACAGTGGACCTATTCTTCCCCTCCCCCAAAAATAAGGCCCTGGAATATAGCACACATCAGTTACACACCACACAAATGCGGCGTCTACTGCAAACACAACAGATCACAGGTGTGACAATATAGCACACATCAGTTACACACCACACATCTGCAGCATCTACTGCAAACACTACAGATCACAGATGTGACAATATAGCACACAACAGTTACACACCACACAAATGCGGCCTCTACTGCAAATACAACAGATCACAGGTGTGACAATATAGCACACATCAGTTACACACCACACATCTGTGGCGTCTACTGCAAACACTACAGATCACAGATGTGACAATATAGCACACAACAGTTACACACCACACAAATGCGGCGCCTACTGCAAACACTACAGATCACAGGTGTGACAATATAGCACACATCAGTTACACACCACACATCGGCGGCATCTACTGCAAACACTAAAGATCACAGATGTGACAAAAAAACACACATCAGTTACACACCACACATCTAGGGCGTCTACTGCAAACACAACAGATCACAGATGTGACAATATAGCACACAACAGTTATACACCACACATCGACGGCATCTACTGCAAACACTACAGATCACAGATGTGACAAAAAAACACACATCAGTTACACACCACACATCTAGGGCGTCTACTGCAAACACAACAGATCACAGATGTGACAATATAGCACACATCAGTTACACACCACACATCGGCGGCATCTACTGCAAACACTACAGATCACAGATATGACAATATAGCACACAACAGTTACACACCACACATCTAGGGCGTCTACTGCAAACACAACAGATCACAGATGTGACAATATAGCACACATCAGTTACACACCACACATCGGCGGCATCTACTGCAAACACTACAGATCACAGATGTGACAATATAGCACACAACAGTTACACACCACACATCTAGGGCGTCTACTGCAAACACTACAGATCACAGATGTGACAATATAGCACACAACACATACAAAATGACATGGTTTGTATTAAGGGTTACAAACAGAAACCAACCCCCCCCCCCCCCCCACACACCCTTTTCATCGGCAAAAAAACACATTTATTTAAAAATGATAAAACACAAACAAGGAATGGGCCGGGCTCTAAAAATCAGGCCCAGCGGTGAGCATGATTGTCTGATGTGTTGGGATGTGGTCAAACAGCGAGCATGTTCTTGATTGTTCGCGACGTGGTTTCATCTTGCAGATGTTTTGTTGTGTATCTAGATGTGACAAAAGAAACAAACACAATTTAAATACAATATTTGTGTTGGTTTACTAAGGTGACATGTATGGGTTTATACCAAAGCACATCATCTTCTTCTTCATTATCAACTTCTTCTTCTTCATCAACTTCTACTTCTTCATCCTCAACTTCTTCTTGTGCATCTTCTTTATTATCAACTTTATGCTCATTATCAATTTCTTCTTCTTCATCATCATCATCATCTGTTTCATCATCATCTTCTTTTTCACCATCAACTTCATCTTCATCATGATCATCTTTTTCATAATCTTCATCTTCCTCTTCATCATAAATTTTTTCATCATCGTCTTCTTTTTCATCAATAACGTCTTCCTCATTATCCTCTTCTTCTTTACCATTTTCTACTTCTTCTTCATCAACTTCTACTTCTTCTTCATCATCGTCTTCTTCGTCATCATAATCATTTTCTTCTTCTGCATTCACCATTAAATGGGTGGTGACAAGTTTTGTTGTGTTTTACAGCTGGCCTGTGATATCTGCATCATCTGGCCCAACATATCTGATTTCAGCAAACCTTTCTTCTTCTTCCTGACGTTCACAAGCTGATGTTCCGGCTGAAAGATGTTCGTCCACCTCCATGTCACATATTATTTGTATGCACAAATTTGGCTCTCGCCTCTCAGGCAAATGCACTCTGACAACCAAGAAAATATCCATAATTAGTAAACATTTATGACAAAGGGGAGCAGGGGATCTATACCCCCAACCAAATGGGGCTCCAGGACCCATAAAAGAGAATTCACTCCCCTTTATAAGTCATCTTTTACAGTGATGTGAGTGTGAATGTGTATATGGGTGTTGGGCTTCTAATTCACCAAAATTGGGGCCTCGGAACTCAACCTGTGAGCCAAGGGCATCTTTGAAAAAAGTCCAGGACCCGAGTCACAACCTTCTGATTCACAGGCCAGCGTCTAGCCGCTACACCATGGCGGCTCGCTAGTCACCCTGTACAGCAATATAGGGCCCTGGAACAGGCCACAGTGCAGAAGAGGAACCTTCAGGTCTGTTGGGTATATAGGGCTAGACCTATATTTTATACAGCAATCTTTGGGTGATCTGGTCAACATCATGCCGGCCACCTTTACTTCCCAGGACTTTACCTTAAGACTGGGTTGACCTGGGAGCCAAGATCATTATTGAAAAAAAAAATATAGCTCTAGCTCCATTTGGAATCAAATCTGTGACCTTCAAATCCGCAGGTCAGCATCTAGCCGCTACACCTTCGCGGCTCTCAAAGAGCAGACCTGACCTGATTTTTTTTAAAAAGCACACAAAATGTTAAACGAACATCCAATCACCTTAAGAAAACATTTATAGAACTGAGAGATACTAACAGCAGTGTGGTGGCACAGTGACTAGATGCTCACCGGTCATCCCAAATTTCTTAGGTTTGAATCCGCACTGAGTCAGGTTTTTTTTTCTTTAAAAAATACCTTGGCTTCCAGGCCGAACCAGTATAAAATGGGTACCAGGCACAGTTCTGAGAAGTGAAGGCTACAGGTCACATGACACATGCCGAACAGTCTATACAATTATTAATCCAGCATCACATGTCCGATACATCACTGGCATGTAAAGGTTCGTTTATTTATTTGGTTCTACAAGTAGTAACGAAGTCGGGTACAGCTACACATTAGCTGACCTTTCATTTATGCTTGCTCAGGCTGGTCTATATGACAGGGGTGTTGTGTCCGGCCCTATCACTGGTGACCAATGTGATATCTAAAACTGGCCCTAACACAAACCCCCTAGTCCACATCCTCAGCCTATGTCCCACAAGAGAGTGCAGTGTACGACCCGTGCAAGCAACGCTTTCTGTTTACAAGTGAAAACCCAATGTCGGCGGTCGATGCTCACACAACAACGATTAAGATGCAACACAGAAAGCTTTCAGAAGACAACAGTACACTGTGACATGCTTTTAAGGTAGATCAGCCGGAGCAATCATGAATGAAAGGTCAGCTAGTGTGTAGCTGGGCCCGACTTCGTTAATACATTTATTTACTTAGCAGACAGAAAAACATTTACTCATGATGGAGATGCGGTCTCTGAGAAAAATGCAAAAAATATCATGGAAGAATACAAAAATAAACGAAGCAGTTCTCAACGAGACAGATAAACGTGGCAAACTTCTTGGAACACTTGGACGCAGACAGTAAACATTTCTGGGATATAATATGAGAAGGAATAGACAACTGGCAAGACTGATGGAAAGAGAACAAAAGGAGGGCAAAAAGATCAATACCTGGATGGCCTAGCCAGACGGATGGAGCGAGACAAAAACACTGAACTGATCTGTGATTCTGATGATCGTGTGAGATGGCAAAGCATCACAGTCTGCGCCAGGGCTATTCAAGGAAGTTTACTCAGTGGCCAAGATTTTGAAAATAGGTGCCGTCATAGGCCAAGCATAGAAAGATCATTAATACAGTACAACTGGCAATGATCGCGGGCCACTTGTTAGGTCTCTGGCCTGCGGGCCACCAGTTGAAAAGCCTTGACCTACGCCTACTGGCATGGGACATGATGATGATGATGATGCGAAGACAGTAACTGGCAAACCAGCTGCTCAAGCAAATAAATCATGAATTGATCTTACCTTAAGGCATTTAGCAAAGACTCCACAGTTCCTTTCTGTTGGTCCTTTAGTAACTTGATGCAACTCTTCATCTAAAAATATGATTGATGAGTATCACTAATGTCACTTTTAAAGTGCCACTTCTGAAAAGCTAACAATTAATTAGCATACTGTTTGTTTACCATTCATGCCTTTGTGTTTTTACCCTATACTCAAATACTATTTTGTTATATGAATTCCCTGTGGGAGTTCCAGGGCCCTATTGTGGGGGAAAACAAGAACAGACCCACTGCCTACCCAAAGGCATGTCGTAACATTCAACTAACTGGCTGCTTCCTTCAAAGCTGGAGTACATCTGCCTGAGAGGCAAGGAGCCAATAGACTGCATACAAATGAGTCGGATATGTAAAACGGATGTGCAGGCAACACTCAGGTTCTGGAATAGGACTAGAGCCCAGAAATGGGTGAACAACTAGAACTTTCCACAAAGAATCAAATTTTGTTTAAAAAAATGACCTTGATTCCCAAGTCAATCTAGTCAATGGTACTAACTGGTCTACAGACTGGATGTCCAACACGCCTATCTGGCTTTCATAACTGACTGCTGACCTCAAGAGTGAGTTGCAATTCTGGTCAGAGCTTACTAAGATAACAAGAGCTTTCTCAGTGGCCACTTCCTCTAGTCAAAGTGATTACTTTTGGTTCATAATAGGTAATTTCCAATTAAGTATTTGGTACAATATTTTCAGGCACTCATAGTCTCAATTCACCCGTCTTATCCCCTAGCAATAAACAGCAAACAAAAGTGTACCTCAATTTTCCCGTCTCATGCCCTAGCAATAAACAGCAAACAAAAGTGTACCTCAATTTTCCCGTCTTATCCCCTAGCAATAAACAGCAAACAAAAGTGTACCTGAATTCTCCCGTCTTATGCCCTAGACATAAAAAGCAAACAAAAGTGTACCTCAATTCCTCCCTGTCCTATCCCCTAGCAATAAACAGCAAACACAAGTGTACCTCAATTCCCCCCTGGGACTTCCGGTTTAGAAATGGCAGCGTGAGGACGTGTTTGCGGCGACACACGATTTTATTCTAAAATTTTTACTTAATCGGTGTTTTTCTCTTGATAACAGAGTGCGATTATTACTAATTCATTGACGATGGATATTTTCTTGTTCGTGGATACAAGCATTATGTGGTTTAGGGGTGTTATAACGGAATTATTTCCACAAAATAGCCACGGCGGCGGCCGTGTCCTAATTCCGATAATGTAACCGCGTAGGAGCCACGCTCCCATTATAAACATGGGAGTCCACGGGTAAGACCCCAGTCTACTCTAGCATAACTAGGTGCTGAAGTCGGAGGCAACCAGCCAGGAGGCGCACCACAGCAATCAGGATGCCACGCATAAACGCAACAGGGAATATTTCTATATCTGCTAATAAGTTTGATTTCCACCATGAGACCCACTCACGATTTACCGGCCTACGACAAGAAGAAAGAGTCCAGCTTCAAATACTCGAAGCCTCCCCCTCATGCCCCGTAGAACCAGAAAAGCAGAAAATACAGCTAGCTTTAAAATAATGCACTGGAACGCGGAGGGAGTACATACCAAGAAATTAGAATTAGAAAACGTCTTGAACGAAGAGAATGTACATGTATGCTGCCTACAAGAGACGTATCTCAAGCAAGATATGGCCTTTAAGATCAGAGGCTACCAGTGTTTCCGATCTGACCGCAAAGACAGGAGAAAAGGTGGAATTCTTACCCTGGTCAAAAATAACATTCTTGCGGGCCGGATCGAAACATACATGGAAGGTGCTGAGTATCAAACTCTTGAGCTCAAGTTAGAAAATACAGATTTACATCTGACCAACTATTACTGTCCGAGCGACCGTCCTCAGGCACTGGATACTGTACTAATAAATGAAAAAAATGATCATTTGTGGGGATTTTAATAGCCATTCCCAAAGTTGGGGCTATGATCATATGGACCAGAGAGGAGAGAAACTAGAGGACTGGCAGGATGAGAATAGGTTCATCCTCGTTAATCAGCCAACCGACCCACCAACCTTCTACTCTAGAGCATGGCATACCACCTCGACACCAGACCTAGCCTTTCACTCAGCAGACATGGAACTGAATGTTACCAGAACTGTTGGGAAGCAACTAGGAGGCAGTGACCACCGGCCAGTCTTTCTAACTATCGAAAGCCAGTCTGTAAGAGAGAGCAGCACACTGCCAAGGTGGAATTTTAAGAAGGCAGACTGGAAGTTATATCAGCTTCGCACAAATGTTCTGCTGGAAAATCTTAACACAGATAACGACGTAGAAAAAGTAGTCCAAGAGTTGAGCAAACACATACTGCAGGCAGCCCTAGAAGCAGTTCCAAGAGGTGCGCGTAAACAATACAAACCGTACTGGAATTGCGATCTGGAGCAACTGCACAACAATATGGAAACAGAAAGAAAACAGGCTGAGACCAGACCTTGTCAAGAGCAGTTTAACAACTACCAACATTCAAAGGCCAAATTTCAAAGAGCCAAACTGCAGGCTAGACGGAGAAGCTGGCAGGAAAAGACAAAGTCCCTAAACTTTGAAAGAGACACAAGGAAGTTGTGGAGGTTAATTAAGCAAATTAATGATGAGAATACAGGGAGAAATGGTTATATTGCACTGTGCAAAGAGGGAGCCATCCTAACAAGAAAACAGGCAGCTGACCACTTTGCAGATTCCTTCACAGAAGACAGCAACATTAATGTCAGCCCAGAGAAACAGCGAGAGGTTCAAGAAAACAAACAACATATAAGACAAAAAGATATAATTCCTGAGGCACTGGTGGCAGCATTTACATCCAGCGAGTTAGAATTAGCAATATCAAAGCTGAGAATGGGAAAATCACCTGGAATTGATGGAATCACCAACGAAATGATCAAGAACCTTGGAACAACTGCCAAAATAAAGCTGCTACAGATCTTTAATCATTGTTGGACCAGTGGCAAAGTTCCTCAAATATGGAGAGAAGCAATCACAATATCTCTGCTTAAACCAGGAAAGGACAGTTCTGATGCCTCCAGCTATAGACCGATCAGTCTTACCAGCTGCCTCTGTAAAACAATGGAACGTATTGTCAACCTTAGACTCCAATGGTACTTGGAAAGTGAAAACATTTTCACGCCGCAGCAGGCAGGATTTAGACAGTGCTACTCCACAGAAGACCAGACAACTTACCTTTCACAAGAAATTGAGGATGCCTTCCAGGAAAAGAAGCTAGTGCTAACGGCATGGATAGATCTGAAGAAAGCCTTTGACAAGGTCTGGAAAGAAGGTCTACTGAAGAAACTGAGAGACTGCAGGGTGAATGGGAGTATGTACAAATGGGTCAAAGCATACTTGTATAACAGAAGATCCCGAGTACAGATAGATGGACTTAAGAGCAAGAAAGTTTTGCTGCGCCATGGCGTCCCACAAGGAGGTGTCCTGTCCCCCACACTCTTCCTAGTCTATATCAACGACCTGCTTTCTGAACTACCCCATGGAATTAAAGCTGCAATGTATGCTGATGACTTGGTACTCTGGTGTACAAATGAAAATGCGACAGTGGCCACCAGACTGCTACAAAGAGCCATAGATGCAATGGCTAAATGGGCCGACAAATGGTGTGTCAGCATCAACATAGGCAAATGCAGCACCACTCTCTTTACCCTTTCTCCTAAACAAAAATCAGGCGCCATGCACATAAATGGAGTACCCCTGAGAGAGGATAAGGAGCCCACATACCTCGGCGTAACGTTTGATGATAGATTAACATGGAGAAAACACATCAACAAGGCAGCAACCAAAGCCAGAAGGAGGGTAGCCATTCTGAGAAAACTAAGTGGAACCACATGGGGTGCTAGCGGGAAAATACTTAGAAAAGTTTACCAACAAAGTGTTCGACCACATCTTGAATACGGATCAACAGCATAGAGTTCCGCATCAAAAACCACATTGCAAGAATTAGACAAAGTGCAAAATCAAGCACTCAGAGTTACCACAGGCAGTATGAAATCAACACCTATAGCTGTGATGGAGAAAATGGGGATGACCCAAGCACTAAGTGAACGCAGAGACACCAAGATGCTTTTACAAGCAGAAAAGTTTCTTAGTATGCCCAGTCACCCTATGAATGAAAGATTCAAAAATTTAGCTTTGGGACGACTAAAGAGAAGTAGTTTTATCCACCAGGCCAAACGGCTCGGCAGACAAACCACTGATTTACCTGCAACTGATAGATCCTTAAATGCTGTCCCAGAACGGACCCCCTGGAGAGAGGAGTATAAGTTTCCAATACACATCAAGACTGAAGTGAAAGGGGTATTTGACAAGGAAGAACAAAACAGTGTGCAGCGCAAAACAGCCACCCTCAGTTTACTTGATGATGAATACCCGCAGAACCTTTGGGTCCGTGTTTACACAGATGGGTCAGCAGAAAGCGCAGTCAGAAACGGAGGTGCGGGAGTGTACATTGAGTATCCTAATAATATCAGGGATACAGCCAAATTACCAACGGGAAAGCACTGTCACAACTATGATGCAGAAGTTCAAGCCATCAAGATAGCGGTAGAGAAACTACTAAATACAGGGTATTTTTCACAACCAGTGGTATTCCTGACAGATGCAAAAGCAGTACTTCAGTCACTCCAGTCTGGAAAATTACCAAGCATACGGACACTATTATCCGAACTAGGCAACCGCTGTAAATTAGTAATGCAGTGGATACCTTCCCACTGTGGAGTTCCCGGAAACGAAAAAGCTGATAAACTAGCTAAGGAAGGTGCAACTGAAGAACAACCTGACATACCAGTCTCTTATCAACAGAAGAAGAGAATGATCAAATCAATCAGAATGCCACCGAAACTGGCACAAGATGATTACCATATTATGGACAGACCAGAGCAAGTTATTATCCTTCGCCTTAGAACAGGGCACAATAGGCTTCGCTCCCACATGTACAACAAATTTAAGATTGGCCAATCGGCCATGTGTACTTGTGGACTGGCACCTGAAACAACAGATCACATCCTTCAAGACTGTCCCATATTCAACGCTTTCAGGCAAAACATTTGGCCAAAAGAGACACTTGTGGAAGTCAAACTTTACGGGCCGCTTAGTGAATTACAAAAGACAGTGAAATTCATACAAGAGACGGCTTTGCATATATAGACAATTTATTTCATGCGAACGAAAGAAGAAGAAAAAAAAAGAATTCCCCCCTGTCTTATACCCACAGCCATAAAAAGCAATCACAAGTGTACCTCAATTCCCCCCTGTCTTATACCCACAGCCATAAAAAGCAAACACAAGTGTACCTCAATTCCCCCCTGTCTTATACCCTAGCAATAAACAGCAAACAAAAGTGTACCTCAATTCCCCCCTGTCTTATGCCCTAGCCATAAAAAGCAAACACAAGGTTACCTCAATTCCCGATGTTTTGGCAAAAGCTCCAACAGGATGTACGTGGTCATAAAGAATGATGACCCCGACCATGACCCTGAGACAGAACAATTGTGTCTCCTCCTTTATCCTGGACCTGTACTGACTGCCAGAGAATGGACACCAAAATAAATCTGAATATGTAACTCTGTGTCATAACATACAACAACCATGTCATACCAATTGTTGTAATACCACTACAGACAGACTGCTATTGCTAGACTGCTAAATATGGCAGTCACTGGTGGTGTAGCAGCTAGATGCTTGTCTGTGGGTCCGAAGGTCGTGGGTTCAGTTCCTGACAGAGGGGAACTTTTGTTTTTTAATGATCTTGGCTCCCAAGTCGACCTAGCCTTGAGTGGGTACTAGGTGCAGTGCTGGGAAGTAAAGGCAGCCAGTAAACTCAGCAAGACTAGAAGAATGCTACTCCCTCCGAGACCAGACAAGTGGAACACCTTGTACAGAGGGGAAAAAACAGCAAGTGAAAACACGCAAATTCCACTACATGGCATTTGGGCCAGAGGGCAAAAGCTCATGTGCAACTTGATCGATAACATCAACAAAGGCAGCCAACATGATGCTAACTACATCACCCCCAAGTGCCGAATGGTCTAAAAAATATAGGTCTATTCCTATACGCCCAATACATCTGAAGGCATTGAAAAGAGTCCTTGACTTTTACAGACATACTGCAACAACTGCTTTTTCTTCGAAGCATTATCTGGTTATAAACTCCCACAGAGTTATATTTGTTCATCAACTCCTTGACTTTGTTTTTGATCCAGACCTTGAGTTTTGCATGCTAGTAAATTTGACAGATCTGGTTTATTTGTATGCAGACTGTTGGTTTCTTGCCTCTCACAGGCACTCCACCTTTGAATAAAAGACCCCTAATTAGTCCTCCCCTGTGACACGCTTGTCAGTGGGTGTATTCTTTCCTCTCGGAGCCCCAAACCCTACACAGGGACTGGTACTTCTGACAGATGCATTCTGCGTTTAATGTGTGTGTATGCTACAAGCTTTATGAGAGTGTGTGTGTTATATTATTCACAAGAGACAGTCATTGACATTCTAGGTGGTTTACGTTGGCATAGGAACGGAACAACCTGGGGGGGGAGGGGGAGGGGGCGGTGGCGGCGTCTGCTATGAAGATGCAACTTGAATTACTTGATCACCTGACAAAACTGTGATTACCTGAATAATAATAACTAATGACAAGAAAAGTGATCTTACGGGTTCTCAATCATCACTCGGCAGATGTTGGCCATCAGACTCAAGCAGTCTGTGGTCTGCTCCACTGGAAGATCTTTGTTCTGTAAAACGTGAGAAAATAATCACTGTTACATCGTGATTTAAATACTACCAGTCACAGTCTCAGTCCACGTGTTAACCCTTTCACACCGAGAAGCCACTTTTGGCTGAATCTAATTCCTTGTAAATGTAATTTTCCCAACTTTGTCAGTCTCAGTCCACGTGTTAACCCTTTCACCCTGAGAAGCCACTTTCAGCCGAGTCTAATTCCCTGTAAATGTCATTTTCCCAACTTTGTCACAGTCTTTGTCCACGTGTTAACCCTTTCACCCTGAGAAGCCACTTTCAGCCGAGTCTAATTCCCTGTAAATGTCATTTTCCCAACTTTGTCACAGTCTTTGTCCACGTGTTAACCCTTTCACCCTGAGAAGCCACTTTCAGCCGAGTCTAATTCCCTGTAAATGTCATTTTCCCAACTTTGTCACAGTCTTTGTCCACGTGTTAACCCTTTCACCCTGAGAAGCCACTTTCAGCCGAGTCTAATTCCCTGTAAATGTCATTTTCCCAACTTTGTCACAGTCTTTGTCCACGTGTTAACCCTTTCACCCTGAGAAGCCACTTTCAGCCGAGTCTAATTCCCTGTAAATGTCATTTTCCCAACTTTGTCACAGTCTTTGTCCACGTGTTAACCCTTTCACCCTGAGAAGCCACTTTCAGCCGAGTCTAATTCCCTGTAAATGTCATTTTCCCAACTTTGTCACAGTCTTTGTCCACGTGTTAACCCTTTCACCCTGAGAAGCCACTTTCAGCCGAGTCTAATTCCCTGTAAATGTAGTTTTCCCAGCTTGTCTATACTGATCGGTTTACATGATGCATAGTTAATGCTACTGGCTTTTTCACGCTTGCACAAATGTTCAGGAGGCCAAGATATGAATACATTAACTAAAAATAGCATTTGGGCAGGAGCAGGGCGTTTTCTGAGCCAAATGGCTTTTCTTAAAGTCAAGCTGATGTCAAATTTCAACAGTGAAATAAATTTTCTAGAGCCCGCGCAATGTATTCCTCTTAATTCATGTTCACTAATTACTCTCTTTATATATCTTATTATGAAAAATGTAGCTAGACATTACATTTTTTTTTAACGAATGTATTAGTGACCTGTTTGTAAAATTGTTTTTCCTAAGGATTTTATTTTTCAGAATTCCAATGGGATGATGACTAATTTTGATTTTTTTTTTTTACTTTCCTAGGGTGAGAGAGTTAACGGGTACTTTTAAGAGAAGCAAGGAACTATCTTCTTGTGACATGCCGATGAATGTAGAAGGTCATGGTTCGACATCTCATGTCAACACCAGATCATGGGTCATCATCATCATCTTTTTCTGCGTTCCCCTTTATAGAAGTGGTCAGCACCATGTGTTGTAGTTAACAGCTAAGCTGCAAGATCTGCTACTTTCAGCCCCAAAACATCAAATTTCAGCAAATTCCTAATTTGCTGCTTGTTTACAAGATACTTGTTATGTGGCAGTGGATCAGAAATATGGAGAAAAAACACACTAAAAGAAGGTCTTAAAAAATGAAATTCATTGCCTGCTCAGAATAGAAATAAAATGGCATGTAAAAGAAATCCCATTGCAGTTAGTGACAGTGTTGTTGAATGTTGAATTAAGGATCGACATCACAGCACATGGGACACTCCTATAAGTGCGCAGTCCTCATCTTCAGCAGCAAGCAAAGAGTTCTAATTCTGATGGCACCAGTAACCGTCTGATTGTATATCCACCTCATCCTTCCCCTGAGTGTTGAGCATCGGCCAGATGCCCTGGTAGTTACTGCCACTGGATTGTAAAATGTTACGCTTTCACATATTCTAGGTCATGACATACAAGGTATCATGGCTACTGCACTTGATCATCACCAATCTTCTTTTTTTCTACGTGTTTACCAGCTAAAGACTGGCAGAAAGTTCTGCTCATCTGGCCACTTCTGGACTTTACTCTTGTTCCAGAACTTGAGTTTTGGATGCACATCTGTTTTACAGACATGGCTTATTTGTACACAGACTGTTGGTCCTGTTGGATCCTTGTCCTGGCAGGCAGGCACACTAATTGCTCGGCACACAGTGGATTTTAGTCGTACTACAGGGTTTGTGTCCTGACCCCAGAACTCCTAGTATGTCATAAAGGATAATGGTTAAAACAAAACTAATAACAAGTTTTACAGTAAGATGCAGCACCGAGATGGGAAACATATGGACTGAAAAAATATGGAAGTAAAAGATAAATCCTTACATAAACATGCTGAGAGATGCTAAAGGTGCCAAACTGAACTGGAATCCATCCATGATACTTAGGCGACTGGACAGGACAGAATGGAATCTATCCATGATACTTAGGAGACTGCACAGGATAGAATGGAATCTATCTACAATACTTATAAGACTGCACAGGATAGAATGGAATCTATCTACAATACTTAGAAGACTGCACAAGACAGAATGGAATCTATCTACAATACTTAGAAGACTGCACAAGACAGAATGGAATCTATCTACAATACTTAGAAGACTGCACAAGACAGAATGGAATCTATCTACAATACTTAGAAGACTGCACAGGATAGAATGGAATCTATCTACAATACTTAGAAGACTGCACAAGACAGAATGAAATCTATCTACGATACTTAGAAGACTGCACAAGACAGAATGGAATCTATCTACGATACTTAGAAGACTGCACAAGACAGAATGGAATCTATCTACGATACTTAGGAGACTGCACAGGATAGAATGGAATCTATCCATGATACTTAGAAGACTGCACAAGACAGAATGGAATCTATCTACGATACTTAGGAGACTGCACAAGACAGAATGGAATCTATCTACGATACTTAGAAGACTGCACAAGACAGAATAGAATCTATCTACGATACTTAGGAGACTGGACATGACAGAATGGAATCTATCTACGATACTTAGGTGACTGGACATGACAGAATGGAATCTATCTACGATACTTAGGAGACTGGAGAGGATAGAATGAATTGGAGGACTAGACTGCAGGCCCTATCTGATCAATAACAACACAACAAGATGATGATGATGAAGAATACAATCAGTATGATCACTCTTCTCCAGCTTCGTCCTTAAAGGACAGTAGGCACTGTGTTGTGGTTAACAGCTAGGCTGTGATCTCTGCACCTTTTACCAATACACTTTATTTCAGCAAATCCCTAGACACCTTTCATGGCATACTTTTACGGAGGCAACGCCTTTACCAGCTGTACACTCTGGCGGAAAGTTCTGGTTGCTCGTCTACTAGTGAACTGCAGTCCTGCTCCAGAACCTGAGTGTTGCGTGCATCAGTTTTACAGATCTCATTCTCTTGAATACAGACTGTTGGTTCCTTGCCTCTCTGGCAGATGCACTCCGACTTCAAAGGAAGCTCCCCAATTAGTTGACTCTTACGACATGCTTTTGGGGAGGCAGTGAGTCTATTCTTGTTTTCCCCATAATGGGGCCTTGCAACCCACACGGAGGGCAACGGATCTGTTCTATTGCCCCCCTCGCCAATGGCTACTGAGCAGACAATAATAATACCTGAGTAACAAATTTGGCCGTGGCATCACTGATGGACTGCAGCATGGGTGTGGCTTGTGCATAGAACAGTGACATACGGTTGGCCAGCTCGTTGGACACGTGATCCTCCCCTGTTGGTAACTCCTCCTGCAAGGAGACAGTTCAACTCAGGTTAGGACAGATAAAACAGAACTACCAAAACAGGCTAGCAGTTACCATCTCTGTAAACATACCTCGCTAACTATTTTCATCTTACTGAAGACTAAATTATCATAGCAAACAGTCTCAGAGATAATTTGCTAACTATACCAAGATGTATATAGTAAAAGTGCAAACATACCCCAGTGACAATTTGCTGCTTTTCCAAGATGTATATAGGATCATAGCAAACATACCCCAGTGACAATTTGCTGCTTTTCCAAGATGTATATAATATCATAGCAAACATACCTCAGTGACAATTTGCTGCTTTACCAAGATGTATATAGGATCATAGCAAACATACCCCAGTGACAATTTGCTGCTTTACCAAGATGTATATAGGATCATAGCAAACATACCCCAGTGACAATTTGCTGCTTTACCAAGATGTATATAGGATCATAGCAAACATACCCCAGTGACACATTGCTGCTTTACCAAGATGTATATAGGATCATAGCAAACATACCCCAGTGACAATTTGCTGCTTTACCAAGATGTATATAATATCATAGCAAACATACCCCAGTGACAATTTGCTGCTTTACCAAGATGTATATAGGATCATAGCAAACATACCCCAGTGACAATTTGCTGCTTTACCAAGATGTATATAGGATCATAGCAAACATACCCCAGTGACAATTTGCTGCTTTACCAAGATGTATATAATATCATAGCAAACATACCCCAGTGACAATTTGCTGCTTTACCAAGATGTATATAGGATCATAGCAAACATACCCCAGTGACAATTTGCTGCTTTACCAAGATGTATATAATATCATAGCAAACATACCCCAGTGACAATTTGCTGCTTTACCAAGATGTATATAATATCATAGCAAACATACCCCAGTGACAATTTGCTGCTTTACCAAGATGTATATAGGATCATAGCAAACATACCCCAGTGACAATTTGCTGCTTTACCAAGATGTATATAATATCATAGCAAACATACCTCACTGACAAAAGGCTGCCTATAGCAGGATGTAAAAAACATTATTGCATAAAATACCTCAATGACAATTTCCCTTAGATCAGTGATTAACAAACTGTGTGCTGTAGCACCCCGGGGAGCCGCGACCTCTTCACAGGGGCGCCGCAAAATATTGTAAAAGCTTCATAATTTATTTAAACAAAACACGAATAGTCATACTTTTACTTAGGTTAGGGCGCCGTGGTAACATTTTAACTGAAAAAAAGCGCCGCGACCAAGAAAAGTTTGGGAAACACTGCCTTAGACTATAGTATCATTGCAAAGATACCTCAGTACCAATTTCCTTCTAACAACAGACTATATAAACATTCCAAAGATATCTCAGTGACCACTTTCTTACCTCAGACTATAGTATCACTGCAAACATACCATAATGACAATTTCCCACAGACTATAGTATCATTGCAAACATACCTCAGTGATAATTTCCCTCAGACTATAGTATCATTGCAAACATACCTCAGTGACAATTTCCCACAGATTGTAGTATCACTGCAAACATACCTCAGTGACAATTTCCCTCAGACTATAGTATTATTGCAAACATACCTCAGTGACAATTTCCCACAGATTGTAGTATCACTGCAAACATACCTCAGTGACAATTTCCCACAGATTGTAGTATCACTGCAAACATACCTCAGTGACAATTTCCCACAGACTATAGTATCAATGCAAACATACCTCAGTGACAATTTCCCACAGACTATAGTATCACTGCAAACATACCTCAGTGACAATTTTCCACAGACTATAGTATCACTGCAAACATACCTCAGTGACAATTTCCCACAGAATATAGTATCACTGCAAACATACCCCAGTGACTATTTCCCACAGATTGTAGTATCACTGCAAACATACTTCAGTGACAATTTGCCTCAAACTATAGTTTCAAAGCAAACATACCTCAGTGACAATTTCCCACAGACCATAGTATCATTACAAACAAACCTATGTGACAATTCTTCTCAGACTATAGTTTCATTGCAAACATATCTCAGTGACAATTTCCCTCAGATTATAGTTTCATTGCAAACATACTTCAGTGCTAATTTCCCCCTTACCACAGACTACAGGAACATTGCAAAGATATCTCAGTGACCATTTACCTCCTACTTCAGACTACAGTATCACAGCAAACAAACAGCAGTGATAATATCCTGCCCACTCAAGACATACATTCATAACATCACTGCAAACATACAAACCTCGTTGGCCATTTTCTTCCTGCTAAGAGTTCTCCGGTAGTAACTGAAGTCATTCTGTATTGCTGGTGTGGTCATCTGTCAGACAGACCACAAAACATCAAGAGTAACAAATACCTCAGCTTCACCATAACAGGTATACTAGTGTGGGTTCTGAGGTTCCATCTATAGGGAATTTAAAAAAGACTCAAGCATGGCGTGAGATGTGACTAATTCATGATTTGTTGAAACTGAATGTTTTGGGGCTGAAAAGTGCGGATAACATAGTCTAGCTGTAAACTACAAGACAATGTGCCAATCACCATACAAAGCAGTGGTTTTTCAGCGGTTTTCAAGTCACGACACCCTTGAAAATAAATAGAAATAACAAAAGAGAAAAAACAATCCGAAAACTTAGAACACACAAGGCCTTTAGCCCTGACAGACACAGCACCTCTCTTTTGATCCGGCAGCTTCTGCAGAATGATTTGTTCCAAACCCTTTTGGTGTTTCTTTCAGCATAATCAAAGCAGGCTGAAAGAGGGAACACGCTGCATGGGCAACTTAAGGTATTTATAACACTGCCCAAGTATTGTGCTAGGGAAAGGAGTAACTTCATACCTGGCCTTAAGTGGCAAACTGGCTGTGATTCTCAATCCCCTGTATAACACAGTATAACAGTGTCATCTGCAAAGATGCCAACAAACGGCAAATCTGGACATCTAGTTTATCCCTTGGTAAATCATAGTGATTCAGTAATCTGGTTTCCATCCAGACACAATGTTTGGAATTATTAACAGCACAAACACAAATATGGGTACACACTGGGTATGGTAAGCATGGAGACACTGACAAAAGACCTGTATTGAAGGATGAAGCACGATTAGGTTGGGCCAATGTCCTAGGAAGTCGATACAGACAACAAGTAACACAGACACACGCTAGTGTCTGGTTACATACAAATAGCAACTCTTTACTGTCTATGGCAGAGCTATTTAACTTAATTTACTCAGGGACCAAAATTTAAAAATGGAGATCTTTATGCGCTCATGGCCCAAGTCTCAACACAGAAAGATCATTAATGCAATACAAATGGCCACTTGCCAGTTCTCTGCAGGCCAGATTTGGCCCGCAGGCACCCAGTTGAAAACCCTGGTCTACGGAACAAGGAAATCTAGCACATGCTGTGAGTATAGTGGTATCACTTCTGAATTCACCAACTGATCACCAAAAGAAACTGTTTTCAATGTTAGTTACTAGCCCTGTCAGATACATAATTTCCAGCTCAATATGATGGATAGGCAGGTTGACTATATTAGTTCTGGCAAGTTATTTGTATCTGGTCAGTCAGCTGTTGCATTTACTCCCACATGTGAACTACAATATACAGTTTAGTTGCCCAGCTACGAACTGAGTGCAAGGTGTGACACTGTGAGCTTTGCATTTAATTTAAAGTGCTTTTTACTGTGCCTATGGTGGTTTTATTCTGAACTGCAGATTCAGAAAATGGTGACTGGCTTGTTGCCAAAGAACTACTGATGCCTTATGCGATTTAGTGTGCACAACTGCTGATTTGATGTAGCTGCAATTCTAGTGGCAGACTGTTTGTGGTGGCATTTCTGATGGCTGCCTTATGAATCAATGCATGTGTGGGCTACTGGCTTTGTTAAGACTGCTGTCCATTTCTTGTCTTTTTCTCACAGGAAACTGCCATCAGCATACTGTGTTGTTTTTTGCTTGTACACGTAGAGAGCACTTATGGGGGTGACCCATCTGTTGTAAAGTTGGAACTGTGATTAACTGACAGATAAATAATCCTTCTGAGGTTTTGACAGTAAGAGAACAGATCTTTAACTTCCAGCAAATTTAGCAACTATAAACCTTCAATACTCATCTAAACACATCTTGATCCTCTTGTACCTTGCAGTATCGAGGCAAAGTATAATTTACAGTCAAAAGCCTGTTAGTGTGTTTCATAAATTGGGATTCCCATGAAGTCTGTAATTCCCTCTGTCCATTGACTGCATAGTCGGCCTCTTCTTCACTACCCGACTGTTCTGTACATCAACGCTTGCTGGGGTCTACTGTCTGCTGACATCCAAGTTATATGGCCAAACCATTTCACCTGTTGTCTTCTGATGAAATCTAGAGATGTTGCTACCCCTATTTTCCGTAGGATTTCATTGTTTCTGATCTGATCTCGTTTTGTTGTATTGACAGCCCTTCGCAGGAATCTCATTTCAGTTGCTGCAGTTTTTATTTTCTCTTTTTGTGCAATTCTGAAACTGTAATTGTTAAATGTGATGGTGACACTTAAGGAAGATAAGGGAGACTATAATTCTACTTACCTTCAGATCATCAAACTTGAGGACAAAGTCCAGAATCTCGGCAAACTGTTTAAACAAAGCTTGCTGTTGTTCTAAGTGTTCCCGTGGAGTTATGTTCTCAGAGCAGAGAACTCTCAATAATTCTGGAATAACTCTTTCTGGGGAGAAGAAATATATAAAATAATGGTAATTATAAAGTTTGTAATAAATAATTTTCCTGGCTTCTCTACAATGTGGAAGTTCCGTCATTTCACAAATTGTGTAAACCTGGTTTTTTTTAGCCCATATCACATACACAGTGTGTTGTAATCTTGTTAATATCAAATGAGACCAGAGGGACATACCACAGAGAACCAACAATACGTCCCAGTGACAGTGTAGAGAGGAATACAGCTCAACCCTAAAATAACTGGCTGAAAATCATGATCCTGTGCCTTATCCAGCCACACAGGATTTACGTCTCTCATATCTTGTCTCCGGTGTTCTGAATCAATTCAACTGATATGTTCTCTAGATCAGTGTTCCTCAGTTTGTTTACATCCACGGCAAGTTTTTTCAAAACTCATCTGGCAACCAAGCAAAGCACAAAAATAAAAATAAAAATAGATAGCAGCTGATTTGTAAATCCGATGTCACAAAATTTTCAGCAAATGCTGCATCTGCTGTTGCTTAGAGATGTAAACAAATCTGAAGAGAATATTTGACTAGTTGGAGAGAAACTGCATTTATCTGAAGAGAATATTTGACTAGCTGGAGAGAAACTGCATTTATCTGAAGAGAATATTTGACTAGCTGGAGAGAAACTGCATTTATCTGAAGAGAATATTTGACTGGCTGGAGAAAAACTGCATTTATCTGAAGAGAATATTTGACTAGCTGGAGAGAAACTGCATTTATCTGAAGAGAATATTTGACTGGTTGGAGAGAAACTGCATTTATCTGAAGAGAATATTTGACTAGCTGGAGAGAAACTGCATTGATCTGAAGAGAATATTTGACTAGCTGGAGAGAACAAAATTTCCAACTGGAAAGGGAAAAAAACAAAAAAAAAACTTGTCTTGCTGGAGACTGGACAGAAAACTTGTCTAGGCGGGTGTGTTGGGAGGGGGGTTGCCTAGCTGGAGAGAAAACATATTTAACCAGAGTGAAAGCTAGTCTAGATGGACAGAAGAAACCCAAACTGAAAATAAAACTTGTTTCACTGCACCAACAACAACAACAACAACAAACAGAAACTCATCCTGCCGTAGAGAAAACTCAAGCTGACAGAAAATACATCCTACTTTAGAGAAAACTCACCCAGCTTAAGAGAAAACTCACCCAGCTTAAGAGAAAACTCACCCAGGCTTAAGAGAAAACTCACCGGGCTTAAGAGAAAACTCACCCGGTTTAAGAGAAAACTCACCAAACTTAACAGAAAACTCACCCGGCTTAAGAGAAAACTCACCCGGCTTAAGAGAAAACTCACCGAACTTAACAGAAAACTCACCCGGTTTAAGGGGTCACTACACCAAAAAATTTTATTTTTTTATTTACAGAGTAAGAGCAGTTATTTTATAATGGTCATTTGTAGGGATACATGTTATTACATTTGTATACTTTAAGTGTTAAAAAGATCATAGTTGTCATGGCAATAGCCGCCATCTTGTGAAAAAAACCATATGTATTTAGAATCCTAAAATTTCAAAAACAAACATGGGTATTTAATAATAGATGATGGATTCATGATTTTTCATCCTATTTAGAGGTACAGGTCTAGTTTATTTACTTTAAACATGTTTTTAAATATTTTTCGTAGAATTTTAAAATGTAGGTTTATTGAAAAAGTCAAAAAAATCTAGCATCATAGGACAATAATCAAATTTTAAAAAACAAAAACTTTCTAAAATCTACTTTTAGATAAACCAGTCCTTATAATATTGTTTATGAAGTATGCATACAAAATTTAATGTTTCTACTCTTTATATTAGTTTAGATTTTAGGATTTCACACACACAGCAAACTGAAATATAGAGATTTGAGAAAACTGACTTTTAAACTTTTTTTATCTTAAAAAAGTGCACGAGGTGGTGTCGTTAGTATTAACGTTTCAATGCTAAATTGTTTACAAATGACAAAAATTTTGTGTGTCATCTATTCTACGAATGCTGAACTTTACAAAAACGAACACATTGAAAAAGTGATATTTTTGTCATAAATTGGAAAAAATGCCGTGTAGTGACCCCTTAAGAGAAAACTCACCCGGCTTAAAAGAAAACTCACCCGGCTGAAAAGAAAACTCACCCGGCTTTCGGGAAAACTCACCCGGCTTAAAAGAAAACTCACCCGACTTAGAGAAAACTCACCCGGCTTAAAAGAAAACTCACCGAACTTAACAGAAAACTCACCCGGCTTAAGAGAAAACTCACCCAGCTTAAGAGAAAACTCACAGAACTTAACAGAAAACTCACCCAGCATAAAAGAAAACTCACAGAACTTAACAGAAAACTCACCCAGTGTAAGAGAAAACTCACCGAACTTAACAGAAAACTCACCGAATTTAACAGAAAACTCACCCAGTTTAAGAGAAAACTCACCGAACTTGACAGAAAACTCACCCTGTTTAAGAGAAAACTCACCGAACTTAACAGAAAACTCACCCAGCTTAAGAGAAAACCCACCGAACTTAACATAAAACTCACCCAGTTTAAGAGAAAACTCACCGAACTTAACAGAAAACTCAACCAGTTTAAGAGAAAACTCACCGAAATTAACATAAAAATCACCCGGCTCAAGAGAAAACTCAACGAACTTAACAGAAAACTCACCCAGTTTAAGAGAAAACTCACCTAACTTAACAGAAAATTCACCCAGCTTAAGAGAAAACTCACCGAACTTAACAGAAAATTAACCCTGTTTAAGAGAAAACTCACCAAACTTAACAAAAAACTCACCTAGTTTAAGAGAAAACTCACCGAACTTAACAGAAAACTCACCCAGTTTAAGAGAAAACTCACCGAACTTAACAAAAAATTCACCCAGCTTAAGAGAAAACTCACCGAACTTTACAGATAATTAACCTAGTTTAAGAGAAAACTCACCAAACTTAACAGAAAACTCACCCAGCTTAAGATAAAACTCACCCAGCTTAAGAGAAAACTCACCCAGCTTAAGAGAAAACTCACCCAGCTTAAGGGAGAACTCAAAGCAGCCTCTCAGCTTGGACACAAGTGGTGTCACTGACTGCCAGGCCTTGTCTTGTAGGTCTTCTATCTTTGGGTTTGAAATGGCCTGAAACCAGAGACTTGCATTAAGCCACACATCTGATTAAATACTAAAGATCTGTCAGTCTGAAAGAGTGAATATAAAGTATAAGTAAAGAGCACAACATGTGTAGCAGAAACCCAAGAGGCGAGAACAGCAACATTCTTCTCTCGTCTGTTTTCACAAGTAAAAGGGTGACTGGCACGGTGTGTTGTGGTTTACAATAAGGCTGCGATATCTGCGCCTTTTGGCCAACATATTCAATTTCTGCCAATCTCTAACTAGTCGTCTGTTATGGCTGTTTGTTGGAGGTAGAGGGTCTATTCTTACTTTTCCTCCAAAATAAGACTCCGGATGCAGCAACATAAGGACATGGGTGCTACCCCATCTTTACTCTGTGTGTGTTCCTGGGTCCAACCAGGGGGAAGCGCAACTGCATCTGCCCCCCCCCCCCCCTCTCTCAAGCATGTCATAAAAGGCGACCAATTTTGGAGTTTTCCTCAAACTCAAGAGTGCATCTGCCTGGGAGGTGAGGAACCAACAGTCTGAATACAAATAAGCCAGATCTGTAAAACAGATGCACAGGCAAAACTAAAGTTCTAGAGAAGATGAAAGTCCACAAGTGGATGAACAGCCAGAAGTTTCCACCAGAGTTTATAGCTGGTATATGCTAAGAAGAAGAAGAAGAAGAAGAAGAAGAAGAAGAAGAAGAAGAAGAAGAAGAAGAAGAAGAAGAAGAAGATGAAGATGGAGAAGAAGAAGAAGACGACAAAGAAGAAGAAGACGACAAAGAAGAATAAGAAGAAAAAGAAAAAGAGAAAAAGAAGAAACAGAAGAAGAAAAGAAGAAGAAGAAGAAGAAGAAGAAGAAGAAGAAAAAGAAGAAGAAGAAAAAGAAGAACAAGAGAAGAAGAAGAGAAGAAGAAGAAGAAGAAGAAGAAGAAGAAGAAGAAGAAGAAGAAGAAGAAGAAGAAGAAGAAGAAGAAGAAGAAGAAGAAGAAGAAGAAGAAAATCAAAAACAAGTCTACAATGACCCTGGTGTAGACTGATTTAACCCTGTCACTCCGAGAAGCCACAAAACTGACACTTCTGACTGGGTCCAATTTCATCAGAAAGCCATTTAACCAGCTTTTCTACAGTGATGTGTTTACAAGTTAATGCTACTGGTTGTCTTTGTGCCTGTGCAAACATTTAGGACGTCGGGATATGAACAATTTAATTTTTAAAAGCCTTCATGGGGTTGTCCTGGAAACTTAAAAGCTTCTTTACAAAGTTGACATAACATTTTCATGGAAGCCTCAGTAATATAGGTTACAAGATCACAACACAAGTTACCAGATACATATTTGTTTAAAACTTCCGGCCAAAATGGACGCTAGGCACAACCACTGTTTTAAGCCGTGGCAAATTTTTTGCTTCCGCCAGACAGTGGCCGTTGCATTTTTGTTCCATTTGTAGACTGAAAGAATATATTTTTGTCACCCAGCTTCTGAGTTGAGTGCATGGCGTGACACCTGTAAATTGAAGATTCAGAAAATGGCGTGATGCCTGTTGTCACAATATTGGTAGTGCCATTATGTGATTAAAACTGATTACCAGATATTTGTTTTATGTGTTCTATTTAATGCTTCACTATGTTAATGTTTACTAATCACTCCCTTTATATATAAATCTATATATATTTCTGGAAAAATGTAACAATTCAGTCAAATAAATTTAAATAACAAATTATTAGCTACTTTGGTCTTGTTCAAGAATATAAGTTTTGGGTGGATGTTTTACAGATCTGGTTTAGCTGTGTGCAGACTGTTGATTGCTTGTCTTTCAGGCAGATACATTCCTACTTCGCTCTCGTCACGGCACACTTGAATGTCTCTCTTTCTCCGGTCCTATGTGCTTTCATAGCCAATGCATCATTGTGTTTTGTATCTACCTCTGCAAAGGTGCACTTTGGCTCCATTTCCCAGAAACTGTGCCCTCCACCACTGTTCTCTCCAGTCCACCATGCCTCAGCTTCTGGAACCGGATGTTGTTTATGAGCCAATTTTCCTTGAGGCTAAGATCATACAGAATGCCAGTGAGGTTCATTTCCCTGGTCCATTGAATTCCTAAGAAATGTTATGAAGTATTTCATTTCAAAGGTTAATAAAATATCTATCACTAACAACAATAACCCACTAAAGTACGTACCATGCGAATCTCTTCTGAGGCCCCTCTATATCGCTGCAGCTCCAACAGAATATCATGTGCTGAGTCTAGGACAGATTTAACCAAAAGCCAAACTGGCCTTTCAGCCTCTGTAGGTTGAACATCTAAGGGTGTGAATAAAACATCTGATTCAATTACATGCAAGAAAACGCCAAGGGAAGGATTTGTGACAATGAATGAAAACAGATTTAAATGCACAGATATTATAAGAAAACTAAATTAAAAACCCATTTACAAGCTATTAAGGTATATAATGGGTGTTCTTTCAACAACCCTCATTTTATTTACAGCCTCTATAAAATGCCTGTAGTTAAACCCCCCCCCCCCCCCCCTTCCTCTCCCCCAACACACACACACAAAATGCAGCCTATCTTCTCCTGTAAAGCCAAGGTCCAGAGCCCTAATTAGATTTCTTTGTAGGTTTCAAAAGTCTGAATTTTTTCAACAAAAACACCTAACTATAACAAACAGTACAACTCACTTTCAAAGTCAACAAAGATGTTTTCTGATGACTTTGATGACTGATCATTGTTCAGTAAAATTCGTAACAAGTTGCCCATCTCTCTCTGAAATAAACATGAATTTACTTTCTTTACTGAGAACAAAAAGTGCATTATTTTGTTTAAATATAAAAAATGCCAGCAATTAGGATAAAACTGCATCTATAATTGTAAAGTATACTACCCAGTTTAGGTCACTGCCACACTGAGCATATGACGCTCGACTCATATCCATAGAAACCCACTCAGTGAATGATGCAGTCACCACCATGCCTGCCACCTTTACTTCCCTGGGCATTATCTGATACTTATTTAAGAGTCGGTTGACCTGGGAGCCAAAGTCAGTTTTGAAAATAACCCACCTTGATGTGGCTTTGAACCCAAGACCGTCAGGCCAGCAGGTGAGCATCTAACCACTAGGTCACCATGACTCCCCACTAGAAATATTCAAGTCAAGAAGTAAGAACACAGACTGCACACAGGGCACAGTGATGGCCACAAATGAACTAAAGTAACACAGACTAGTGACAAACATGGAAAGATAACATCAGAGAAACTCAACTTCAACACGATGTAGGCTCTCCTCTGAATAATGGTCCCAAATTATCGACGCTAAGAAAATACCATAACAGGACCTCAGTCATATGTAAATTGTGGACTTCTTTCTGGCGACTTTACCGCATACTGCGGAAAAGCTTCTGCCGAGTTTAAGTTACAGCAAGAGTTTCCCCTGCGCGGCTACGTGCGGCGTGGAGCTAAAGTAGATGGCTGGGACTCACGAGCAGCAGCTACCGCATCTCCTGCAACTTCCTCCATTTTATTTGCTCGTGAGTCCAAGCCATCTAATTTAGGCTCCCTCCGTGCCGCGCATAGTAGCATGGGGATACTCTCGGAGGTGGCGGTTTAGTCCCCGGAAAGATGTCTGCAATTTACATATGACTGAGGCCCTGTTAGGGTATTTTCTTAGCCTCGATAATTTGGGACCGTTATTTAGAGGATAGCCCACGATGTGTCAACAATCGAGGTGGCCAGAAAAGCAAGAAGCAGAACCTCAAATCTCCCTTGATACCTGAAGTGGTAAAAGAGGAAGTAAAGAAGAAGAAGAATAAAGAAAAATGAGGAAAACATTTGATAAATTTACGCTGGTTCTATCTGGAGCTTTTGATAGAAGATTGTATACATAAAAGAATACACACACAAACATTGTTTTTATTTAACAACTTGTTATTTAACTTTTTAAGCTTAAAAATCCTTTAACTCTTTCCATCCCAAGCAACGCACTATGTATGTTCTGCTATTAGCATAATGCCTCCATAGATGCCTGGCGTGTTATTGTAAGATTTAAATTTAGCTCGGCATTGTACAGAAACCCGGCCACATTTTGTAATATGTAGCAGTGCAAATGCTGCCTCTCTGGAAGTTACAGACCCAAACTCTTTCACTGTAAATAAAGTCTTCTGGTAATACCCAAACGTTAATATGCTGGTGTGCTGGGAAATGAACAGGTAGACAGACTGGTTAGCTATACAGCAAGGTAGATGTATAACTGACACCACTGGTATTTTAACTCAGCTGCGATGTGGTTCTTGAACCAACTCAACCCAGTGTTGAGATAAAGAAAAAAAAAGGTGGGCACAACCACAATAACAGTGTATATCCAGAAAAAGGCAGTTCTATCCACACCAAATGTAAACAATTTAGATTTCGGTCGGTATATAGCTCATATTTGAGCTCACAGTTACACTGGTCATTTATCTGCATCCCCGTGTGACTAATTTTTTAATGTCTAAATGTAAAATCAAACTGAACACAGCTGTTCACACATCAGAATGATCATACATTCCCGTTAAATCAAATCCACAAAAGATATATATCCTTATATAAGCACTGATGCATATCTCATACTTCAATACTTACTCAGTAAGTTACTGTTTGTTAAAAAAAAAAATATATTTGTATTATTTACTACTTACAAATTACGTCCAAATTACTCATTTATCTTGAGAGTGATATACTACATTCATAACATGTTCACGATGAGCATAATTACACTTCTACTGAAATACTGTCTACCGACGTACAAAAAAACAGCCCTATATATAAACCCAGGGCCCTATCTGTAGGGTAGCTACCCAACCTGGTAAAAAACCAAGAAGGAAGCTAAATTACAAGATGTCTAAAAATAACTAACTATCGCTATGACAAACCAGAGGGTTTTCTAAATTAGGCTATCGTCACATGACAACTGCCACAGTGAGTACAATATTAGAATTACCGTAAAACCCGATGATTAATTTAACTAGGGTTTGCATCTAAGGGGACTGGCAACTTCTACAGGTTGGCAGCCATTAGTGTCTCTCCCGCAGGTTACACTTCCGGGTTATCCAAGGCCGCTATGGGTGCACAGTGTAATTAACTCTTTACCTGTGTATTGGTATTTCTGTTCCTTAAACATTCCCAACGATTTAGTTATGTAGGATTAACATCACAGTGATGAGAATCAAATAGGTACAGATCTCGGAAATCCCAATAACAGTATAACACCCTTAAACAGGCCTACCCCCAGGCGCGACAACGGGGAAAAAATAGTTCTAGCACCCGATTCTCTTGCAACTGCCGTCATAAATTGTTTCAAGGCGGGGAGGGGGTGCTCAAGGGCTGATCCTAGATTATGTGCATAATAATAATAAAGGACTGAAAGATCACTAAATATGATAATGTACTTGAAATAAAATGGCATTTATAGGCAAAAAGACCAACTTGTAAGCAATTTCGGTCCTTTTCACCTTTCCGGGCCCATCTACACACTGGTTGACATTTTATTCATGCTTTCTCAGACTGTTCTACTAGGGGTGTCACGTTGTCTTATCTCCAGTTACATAAGCACCGATGTCGTGTGTTCTGTACCACACTATACCGTTCCCTACACAGTCTGAGCCTATGTTACACTAGAGATTCTTTTCGAATGCGGATTACAATGTGACACCCCTCTGACCTAGACAAGACGTAGACAGTGTGTTGATGGACCTGGAAACGTGAACAGGACCAGCATTTCTATACATGGTCAACGGGGGATGCTTAGCCTTTTTATAAAATCTGGGGACGGCGGGGTGGGGTGGGGGGAAACATGTGAGTTGAGACGGCTAACCTAGCAATCTCTAGTCCAGTGTTATAGAACAGGCGAAGGTGGGGTATGCATGCACTCTTCATCTTCTTGGCGTTCACCGGTTGTTTAACTCCGGTGGAAAGTTCTAGTTGTTCGTTAACTTCTGCACTTTAGTCTTATTCTATGACCAGTGTTATACTGACTTCCGAATTATTTTCAGGGTGTAGTTATGTACAGTTAGGAAGGAAAGGGGAGGGTGTGGCAGCTGCTTATGGTGGGGGGGGGGGGGGGGATGACGGTTGCAGTACGACTAGACAAAATTATACAAAAGGTACCGTGTTTCCTTTAAAATAAGACCTTGCCCCAAAATACGCTCTTGCTTGATGTTCAGAATACTGAAAATATAAGCTCTACTTCAAGTATAAGCTTAGTTAAGATGGTAAGCCTGGCGGACGTAATTCGTTCGTCCGCTAAATAGTACGAAGGACGCATTGAATGTGTAAAGTAAGTAATGCGCGTATAAAATAAACATAAATAAATAATAATATTGACAAAATACTTAAATGAATGCAAACTTTATGCTAGAGTAAGTGTAGACTCTTATACATGAAAAAAAAATAATAATAAGAAATACACTAAAAATAAATTGGGATGCGTCTTTTTGGAGTGCAAATTATTACAAGACCCAGGAGAATTTTCGGGGAATTGCGGGATATCGGAATTCTGCGGGAAAATAACCAACACAAACATAGGTACAGTGCTGGTCTCACAAAAACTGAGGCCAGGGGAAAAGGGAACAAATAACCAACCAATCAATATGCGATGTGAGGTCTTGGGGCAGATAAGACGAGTTGGGAGATAATGGCAGGATCATTTATTACGCCTTTACGTCCTTTTCAGGACGTAATTTTTTGTTATTTGAAGCCCCACTCTGGCTTTTGCCAGGGGCCGCAATATAGGCAGGCCATAAATATGGCCAGATGTCTGAACGCGGTTTCTGGGACCTCTCCACGGCGATCCTCATCCGCATGGTGGCACTTTGTGTCATCGGGTGTTTGTCGCTTGTGTGATGTCCTGGTGGGGTAGAAAGTCAGTCAGTCAATGGCAGGATAAGAACTATTTAAAAAAAAAAAAAGAAAGAAACACAAGAGGTGGTGTGGTGTGGGTGAAAGCCGGATAGCAAACTGTATGCGGGTTAAAGCGGGCTGGCGACTTTCTGATGTAGTAGCTGAGCCCTGTGTTATACTTGTTGATGGGAACGCCTATTTTGCAGTGACGTCGATTGTGATAACATAACAAAACATAGGTGTTGTGAAAGGTTGGTATGAACATGGTTTTTATGTGGATTCAGATAGCAATACAAGAGAGGGGGTTTAGCTAGAAGTAAAGCAGATGGAAACAAGGTAATACTATGGTACTAGCAACTGTATTAACTGCCACCAGATTGATAAATTCCATAAATGGAAATAAGCGACTCTTTATTTACAGTTTGGGAGAGCTGTCCAGTTGTACGGTTCGATGGCAGTGACACGGACACATGTTTTGGCCAAACCTTTGACTTCAGAATGGGAGAGAATCGACCACCATATCAGACACGGGAGGCCAAAAACTAGGGAACCAGACCACCTGGACGACCCAAGGTCCGCTGGGAAAACAACATCCGGCAGTCCCTGACCGACAGAGGACTAACATGAAGCAAAGATAAAAGGGAAACTACTGGTAGAGAAGTCAGGCGATCTCTCTGGCAAACTTTTACACCCCATGGTACAAGAGGATAGACTAAGTAAGTAAGTAACCACAAACACGTCCATTCGAAGTCGGAGTGCATCTGCCTGAAAGGATATCAATCATTCAGATCTTTAAAACAGGTGTGCGCGTATAACCCAAATTCTAGAGCAAGACCAAAATCCAGAAGTGGACGGACAACCAGAACTTTCCACCGGAGTTTACAGCT